GCAATTTGAGGCAGTGTTTGTTAAAGCATTTATTGCTATGTATGTATGGATATGTAAGTGGGTATATGTGTGTGTAAATTGTACATAAATTTGAATCTTTATATAGCCTTCAATTTTAATATTTATATGTTTGTGTGATGTAAACATTTTTCATCATATTTGACAATTGTCTTTGATTATATTTTATTTATGATAACATATACATACAATTTAATAGTATATAGGCTTGTGTGTATATGTGTTTCCATATAAGTATTCATGACAAGTGAAATATGATTACTTGCATACATGTACCATATACATATGCTGTAAATATGTGATTGAGTGCTGCGTGTTTGTGCATGCCTGTGCGTGTCTATTATTACAGTCAATATCAATTTTTAATAATGTCATAAAAAAAAGTCAAGTAAAAAGTATTGTTTCAGCGGGGTATTGTTCATTATACAATTTTCTTTTTTCGCTTTTCTTTTTTATTGTTGACATTGTTGTTGTTTTTATTAAAACAGCAACAATTTGTGTCTTGTTGTTAATAATTCGCAGAATCTTTTTTTGTTTTATTTTTATTGACCTTTTTTACGCATATTTATATTTTGATTTGTGGTTTTCTTTTTGTTGTTAATATTGTTGTTAATATGTTGCTTTCTTGTTGTTTTTGTTGCTGTCAGACAGTTTATTTGGTTGATCTTTTTTTCTGAATTAAACTGTTAATTTGCTCATTTAATATTCATTGTTGTTTTGTAGCTATTTTTCGTTTAAATATGTATATTTATGTGTGTGGCAAATGTTTGTTGCATAAATATATACTCATTATATAAATAAATATATGCTTTTATACCTACTATAAGTGTTTTGTTGTAAAACCAATTATTTTTCATTTTTATTTTTTAATTAATTTTTTTATTTAATTTTTATTATATATTATTTTCTCTCATTTTCGATAATATATAATTTTAACGGCAGAAATGCGCTGAAACAATTTGCTTATTTTAACCATTTATTGTTAATAATATATGCAAATTAATAGAAATAATTTTTGAATTTTATAGGCCCATAACACTGCATTTAATGTTAAACATTTTTGGCATAATTTAGATTTATGTATAGATTTATATTTTACTGAAAATGGCTCGTTTTTAATGTACCCTATAAATTGTGTTAAAGGATATTAAGTTGAAAGTCAAATGTTTCAATTAAATTTTTATTTTTATTAAGAAAAAATAATTTTTGTATATATATTATACTTTTTTATAAACATTTTTCACCTAAAAGTTTTTTTTTTTTGACTAAAGTTCAGTCCAAGTGCAAATTAAGCACAGTTTAGTGCTAGTTCAGTTCTAGTTCAGTTCTAGTTCAGTTCTAGTTCAGTTCTAGTTCAGTTCTAGTTCAGTTCTAGTTCAGTTCTAGTTCAGTTCTAGTTCAGTTCTAGTTCAGTTCTAGTTCAGTTCTAGTTCAGTTCTAGTTCAGTTCTAGTTCAGTTCTAGTTCAGTTCTAGTTCAGTTCTAGTTCAGTTCTAGTTCAGTTCTAGTTCAGTTCTAGTTCAGTTCTAGTTCAGTTCTAGTTCAGTTCTAGTTCAGTTCTAGTTCAGTTCTAGTTTAGTTCTAGTTCAGTTCTAGTTCAGTTCTAGTTCAGTTCTAGTTCAGTTCTAGTTCAGTTCTAGTTCAGTTCTAGTTCAGTTCTAGTTCAGTTCTAGTTCTAGTTCAGTTCTAGTTCAGTTCTAGTTCAGTTCTAGTTCAGTTCTAGTTCAGTTCTAGTTCAGTTCTAGTTCAGTTCAACAAAAAAAGTCCTCTCTATAACTAAAATATTCCAACAAACATACACTGCGTATGATTAATATGTGATTATTCTTATGAAGCATTCATGACACTCATACGCCTTAATCAAGTTAATAATTTTAGAACAAAATTATTGTTTGCAATTCATTTATAAAAAAATTTAATTTCAGTGGCATAAATGCTTTATGTGAATTATGTTTATCACCTCCCTTTCAGTTAACATCCAATGATAACTTTGTTTCCCACTACCTAATTAAAACTGCCACACTCTTGCTCTTTTAACTCGGGATTAATAAATATTTGTTGACTTTGTAAAATTGCATTCATTGCAACTAAAATCTAAAAAACACAATAAAAAGCTATAAATAAATTTGCATATTCTTAAACTAAAATGTTAATAACATCTAACCAATGTTAAATACCTTGAGGATGTAAGTTTTTGACCTTTTTCCTTTTCTCTGTGGCTTTTTTTACCCATGTGTATGTATATGTGTTCCTTTACTATGTTAAATAATTATTTATAAGTAACATGTTGTAAATTAAATGTAATATTACACTTCATTAAATTTACTCATGACAGCAACAACAACATCAGCAAGTACAAATATCGTTGTTACCCATTTGTTGTATGTTATTTACGTACGTGTGGTCTTGTACTGAGAGCACAGCCAAAAGGTCAAGTTAATTTTATAAATTCATTTTACGTTGAACCAATACAGAATGTTTAATTTGCATTTTATAACAAAAAAAATATATAAAGAAAATATTTTACACCCACCCATACATATACTGAATGAATTCTTACATATTTACACATAATACAACAAAAATGTAAGCATACATTTGCAACATATACACTTTCAAATTTGCTTTAAGGGAATGGTATATGTAGAAAAACATATTTGTTTTTGTGTTGGTATTAAAACAAAAAAAAAAAACTGAAATATTTATTCTTATTTAAGGAAGTGAAAAGTTAGTAGTTACTTTTTTAAAGATGTATTTATACATACTATATATTCATAAAACTCATACATTGATGTAAAATTACAGTTAAATTTTTAACTGTAAATTTTTATAGTCTTTTTCCTTTCGTTTTTTCACATCTTTTTTTAACAAAAAAAACCACAAACGTATTGATGTGTGTAGAGAGTAATAAAGACTTTTTATACAATCTTTTTTTGGTGTTGGTCATACGTCTATATGGTTCCTAGCTGTTTATATGTACATATGTATGTATGTAGGGAGTGAGCGTAAGAGAGTGAGAGTTAAACATTCATTTTGGTAGTTTTATTAGAGTCTGTTGTAAAATTTTACAATTTTTACTCAATTATAAAAGTTTCCACATTAAAAGTTTACACCGCCAGCTACCATTGAGGACCGGAAAAAAACTGTCGTAACTTTTTGTGGTCTGCTCTCAAAAAAGAAAAAAAAAAGGAGAAAAACGTTAAACGAAATGAAATTACTTAAAGTAAAGAAATGTAAAAGAGTTGGTAAATTGTCAGCATACAGCAACATTACATACTAGCTACAAAAAGTATCAATATTTATATGTATAAATATGTATGTATAATATCCTAGACTGCTTATGGCGGCAAATTCGTTTATTGTCCCTTTTCCTTTTCCCTTTTAGAGTTTCCTGCAGCATCCACATCTTCATGCATTTATTTGATTGGTATAGTGTTTCATTTTATTTTTATATGTTTTTTATTAGCAAGCCATTAAAGGCTATTAGACTGTAAATGCCTCAAGTACAAAACTTTTAATTCCACAATTCACAACACTTGCTAAACACAGCTACGTGTATAGATTGTCTACATGTCCGTCTATCTGTCTGCTACAAGTCCAAGAGTTTTGGTTAAAGGGAAGTAATTTTATTACTTAACCCATTTGTTTGAAATATACAGAAAAGGGTACAGATAAAAATATAATAAAATGTGATATAAAATTACATTTGACATAAAAATATTGGAAGAATTCATAAACTGTTAAATATTTAATTTGTTGTTTATTTAAAAATAATTACTACTTTCCGCTAAAGGGTTAAGTGAGAACGCCCTTTAGCTTAACCAGTTGTCTGATGGTGTAAATGTTGTAAAATGTATACCATGTCCCAACACTCACTGTGAATTAAGCTTAAATTGACCACAGGCTTAAGGCCATTGAAACAGCCAACCAACACCAAGCAGCCACTAACAAACAAAACAAAACTGTCTACAATCATACCGCCACAAAACAGGCAACTTATAACACTCTTCTCATTATCACACATACTCACAAACCTAGACACGTACACATGCTTGATTTATACACACATCTACTTATGTAAATATATTGGTATTATACATAGTACTTTCATAAGTTTGGGGATAATTATATGATATATTTTCAAAGTCATTGCATTGCACAATTCCTAATATGAGAACTTTTTTGGGACCTGGGACTAACTAGAATTAACCGATTTTTTATATTTTTCGAAATTATCGCACTGGGAAGTACGTTAAGATAGATTGCGTTTAAGCTTTATAAAGAACGGAAAACATATTCTTTTGGGAGTAATATTTCGATCTTTTGTAATGACTGGTATAATAATCATGAATCAAAACTTTTAAAATTACTACTAATTCATCTCTATATTTGTAATATATAAAATAATAATATTGTGCTTAAAAGTAGGGGATATTATATGAATAAATATGTAAAATTGTAAGTAAATGTGTATGTCTGTGTGTGAGCTTGATGACACTAGACATTAACACATGGCTGTAACCACAAATTACAAGACTAACATTTAAGCCATTGTTGTGGTTCGAGTAATTTGCGTATAAGAAGTATGGCAATGAATGAATTTTACAAAGATATTTTAACACACACACATACACGTATGTACCTACTTTCATGACATTGATTTCAAGAATCAAATTTGTGTACCCACCAACACCAAGAACAACAACAGTTACAACTAGCAACCAACAATATGATGACAAAAGATGATGAAAGGAAATTAGAAACAACACACATAAGCCATACAAAGAAAGATACTTTTAACGCACACAATGACACACACAAACACACATATGCATACAATTTACAATTACACTTACGAGTGACACTCTTTCTACTTACATACTTAATTAGTATTTGATTTTCAATCAACATTAATTCTTGATGAAGCGTAAATTTAAAGCTTTGTGTACTAAATATTTCTATTTTTTTGACTCTTTTTTTTAGGTTACGGTGGCATTTCACCAAGAACCCAATGGGGCCGTATAGCTGCTTTAATTTATGCTCTATTTGGTATACCCATTGTTTTGCTTTATCTTTCGGCCATGGGAGAGGGTTTATCAGCTGGTATGCGCTGTTTATTTCGCAAGGCTCGTTCGAAAAGCGCCATTAGCAGTGGCAGCAGTAGTGGTGGTGGCGGTGGAGGTGTTAACGGTGGTGGCAATTCAAATTCAGCTGTCACATCAGGAGGTGGCGGTGGTTCGAACAAGAAACATGCGAACGACATTAAAAGTCACAACAATCCCAGTAATAAACATTATGCCAGTGGCAAAATGTTGGCCACACATCAATATGGCTCATTAAGTAAACATCAGTATCAGGCAACGGGTTCACCGAGTGTGCCCATTTCCATATGTGTTATGGTTTTGATTTGCTACATAACATCAGGTGCATTACTTTTTCACAAAATGCAAAATTGGACTGTTTTGGAGGCCTTGTACTTTTGCTTCACTTCTTTGGGTACCATTGGCTTTGGAGAGCTTACGCCTGCCGGCAATTTGACTTTATATTTGGCCTCGGCCTATATACTGATAGGCATGGCTGTGGTGGCCATGTGTTTTAGTTTAATACAAACTGAATTGGTCATGTGGCTGAGACGTTTTAGTGTACAGGATCATGTTATGCCCCAGACCGATGATGTCTCACTGGTGTCGGTGTCAGTGACGCCCAAATCCTCTTGACAACGACCTACAGCTGACCTGCTAGCAGGCAGCTTAGCTGGCAACAATGCCATGGGCCAGCATCAAACCATGTTCTTTGGACCAGCCCATACCTTCTCCCAATACAACTCATTGCCCAGACGAGGCATGAATTCAAATTTCCAGCGCAATACCCCCATAAGAAGATCAACGGGTATACCAGAACATCATATTGAGTATTTTGTGCCACGCAGCATAAGTGAGTTTAATCTGTCGGGCGTCGGTGATTTGGCTCTTCCACCACCCCGAAGATGTTCACCTACTATACAAAATACGGGCATGCAACTGCCACATGGCCTACAATTGGGGCCGCCACAAACTTTACTATGCGGTCCACCGCCACCACAACAGGTGCAAATCATAATGAAACCCAGGGAGAAAATGGTTACTTTTGAAGATGAATCAAAAGGCATGATACCACCACCCACCTCTAGCAGTGCGGCCACAACGGTGGGCTCCACCTGTCCCCATGGAGTGCCGACAACACCACGCAAATCAACGACGGGCATTGGTGTGGGTGGTGGTGGAGATGTTTTTATGTGACGTGAATCATTAAGATGACCCACACTTAGTGGTTTGTTAGGCGATACCACTGGCGATGATGTCTTTACTCTCAGCGGTAGCACACAAAATAATGAAGATCATGATGCGGCCGCCGGTTCTGGCAGTGAACGCACTTCTTTAGATGGCAGCTTAAGTGATCTAAAGACAAAATCCACACCGGGTGATGTGATACGAGTGTAAATTAAATAGAAATTTAAATGCAAAACAACAACTTCCTTGATATTACAAAAACAAACAGAAAACCAACCAAACAATTCTTAAAACTGAAATTTAGTGTTAGTGTTAAATAAAATTTTACAAAAAAAAAAAAAAAAAGAAAAAATATTTGTATGTAAGTGTAAAAAAATAATTTAAATATCTTCATTAACTATAAATTATATAAAATACTAACAAATTAAGGAAATTTAAGAAAAAATTAAAAGACATAAGAAATAATATGTTTTCAACAGTTAAGGCAATTCTTTAAACTGAATAGAAATGGAAAATATTACTTTTATTCTTTTAAAATCCTTTTTCGATCTGTATAAAATACTCTCTTTCCTAATGCAGGATGGAAGTTATAAATCAAATTTTTACAACTTTTAACTGTTTCCCTTAACTGTTGAAAAACATATTTATTAAATTTTAGAAAAATCTGTAAATATTTAAATACTAATTAATGTAAATTTACTCATAAAAAAACAATCAACATAATGTCAATTTTCATTTTCATTTAATTTAACTTTTTTCTGTTTATTTTTATTTTTTAGATTATTTTCATGCTTTTGATTTTATGTTACCCGGGAGATTGCAATTTTAATTTCATTTATAATTTCTAATTGGTCAATTGCAAAAAAGGCGAAGAAAAGTAACAATAAAAATAGCAAATCTTTGCGAAACAAAAGAAAAGGAAATGATATTGTTTTGCAACAAAACGATGCATTTGAGTGCAATTTGTAGAAAAAAAAAACAAGAAACTTGGCGGAAAAAAAACAAACAAAAACAAGCAAAACCACACAACAGCCACAATAGCGCGACGCTGTCAACAACAACCAACAGCAGTTTATTGTCTTAGCGACCTTAATTGTTGCAACAATAAAAAAACAATTGGTAAGAAAACAAACTTCTCTTATGACAAAAATCATTTCACTAATTGCCAACATTTTATTGTCACACTTCTAAACAATGTATGACAATTCAGATAAACATTGTCTCAACTGTTACTAACACTTGCTCTGCTAAAACCCAACGAAATTTTTGCATTATTGCCAAACAATATTCTAATACGGCAACAGTATACTTGCAAATTTGCTGGGTTGTAACAATAGCAAAATTTACACTCGTGCTAGTTTCTGCACTTTAAAAATAAACTACAACAAAATTTTAGTAAAGAAAAGTTTATTTAAAAAAATCCAATTTTCTTTTATAAAAGTATGTATATGTGGGTATGCATTCGCTCACATATAAATTTCTTCAACACCGACTTATGCAGAATATGTCTGTGTGAGTGTGAGTGCAACCAAACAAACAAAAATAAAAAAATGAATATTACCGCAAGTGAATTGTGGTTTAAAGTGTTCCAATTTTATTTTATGTATGAGTATGTTGCAGCATAAGCATCTGTGTGTGTGTGTGTATGTCTGAGAGTATTTGTTAAAAAAAGGACGAGAAAATAAAAACAAAATATAATGACAATATGAAAGTGAGATGTTTGCTACAATACCAACCAAGTCATAACAACTTTTGTTTTATTTTATAGTTTTTTTTTTCTCTTTGGCATTTTTTTAGTTTTCATTTTCATGTAGTGGCATTTTTGTTTTTTGTATTTTTTGTGCAACATCAACAGTAGTGGCAAAACAATACAGTATAACTTGCTTAAAATGAAAACTACTTGGCAAATTTTCCCAGGTCCCTATAGGTTTAAATTTTGTTTAGTTTTTGTTAGTTATTATAGTTTTGTTTATTTGTATTTTTTTATACAATTATTTTATAATGTAGTAAATAATAGATTTCAAAATTGTTTAGATGACGTTTTGCAGAAAGTCGGGAAAAAATATATAGTTCAGTTTAGTGATACAATATCACAATATTTAAGGATTATTCTCTCTCTCATACAGATCGGCAAAAAAAATCGATTTGTGAATTACTTTTATAATAGATTTTTGCCGAAAAGGATTTTTTTTAAATGTTTATTATTAAGAGAATTTTCAAAATTTTAAATAACGAATCGATTAATCGAATAAATTCTCTACTAATGGAGAACATTCGATTAATTCTCTATTTCCAGGGTTAAATTTTCTATTTATAGAAAATTTTGGAATTTATTTTTTTATTTATAATGAATTTTGAAATCCAATCCTTCTTTAACGAGAATTTTCAAACCGATTCATATCTATGAATCGATTCTCTACTCATTCTCGATTATTTATTTATAGATAATTAATCAAATCAAAGGATCAATTCTCTCTTCGAATCGATTCGTTATTCATTCTCGATTCCCTTCCAATATATAAATCTTTCCCTATATAGACTCTATTCTCTATTTGCAGGGAATTTTCTATTTATAGAAAATTATATTATTTTTGATTTATAATGAATTTTGAAATCCAATCCTTCTTTATCGAGAATTTTCGAATCGATTCATATCTTCGAATCAATTCTCTACTCATTCTCGATTATTTATTTATAGATAATTAATCAAATCAAAGAATCAATTCTCTTATTCTCGATTCCATTCCAATATTTAAATCTTTATAAATTTTCTATTTTTAGAAAAATTTTAAATTTATTTTTGATTTATAATGAATTTTGAAATCCAATCCTTCTTTAACGAGAATTTTCGAACCGATTCATATCTTTGAATCGATTCTCTACTCATTCTCGATTATTTATTTATAGATAATTAATCAAATCAAAGAATCAATTATCTCTTCGAATCGATTCTTTATTCATTCTTGATTCCTTTTCAATATTTAAATCTTTCCTTATATAGACTTTATTCTCTATTTGCAGGGAATTTTCTAATAAATTTTGAAATTTATTTTTGATTTCTAATGAATTTTGAAATTTATTTTTGATTTATAATGAATTTTGAAATCCAATCCTTCTTTATCGAGAATTTTCGAATCGATTCATATCTTCGAATCGATTCTCTACTCATTCTCCATTATTTATTTATAGATAAATATATAAATCAAAGAATCAGTTCTCTCTTTGAATCGATTCTTTATTCATTCTCGATTTCTTTTCAATATTGTAATCTTTCCCTATATAGACTATTTTCGAATCGATAAAAATCAATTTTTTTTTCACAAAACACGGATTTTTGACCTTCAACCACAATTTAGTTATTAAAATAAACTTTGTTTTTACAAGATTCTTACAACAATTTTAAATGAAGTTTTGAAACATTTTATCCTAAACTTCTTTAAACCCCTCTTAAGTCCATCATAATCTGGTTGTACTGTATCTAGAAGTATTTAGTATCTGATGCATGTTATTTATTTTTTTTTTTACCCCTGGATTTCAACTGTTTAAAGAACATAAAATATAGATTTGTATGTATGCTGCTGTTGTTGGTGACTTATGGTGCATACGAATGAATAGCATATATGATTGAAACTCAAAAAGGAAAGATGTAGAGAAAAGAACATTAAGCCGGAAAAATAATAAAAAAAAGTAAAACAGGAGTAGGATATAAATGTGGATATAAATGTTTTCTAAGTGACAAGTGAGCTATAATGTGTTTTCTCTCGCAAGAATTAATGTTTGTTTTCTAGCACGAATTAAACTTAAATATGTGATGCGTGCTACGATTTGTCAATACAGGCAATAAATATTAGTTTACACACACGCTCTTGCACACATAACAACTGACATACATGTGTGACATTAGGATAAACATGAACAATTTTCTACCCAAACATGGTCGCTTCAAATAAAGTTTTTCTTAAAAAAACTATTTTGCAAGTAAACAAATTTTTAAAATTATTTGCTGTCAATTTATAAAAAAACTTCTCTCTATATATAGACACATGACATTTTAACTTGTATAAGCAGAAGAGAAATAAATCTTTAAAATAATTTAATTAATTTATTATTATTTCCCACAAATTTTAAAATTCATTTGTAAAATACATAAACCTTAAAGCATTTAATAACACTCATATACACACACACACAGCTACATAATGTAAATCAAAGGCATACATACTCACACATTTAAATAAATTTTATGCATACAGTTTGTAAAATTAGTCAAGTAAATAAATAAATTCCTTAAAAAATATAAAAATGTAATAAAATTAAAAATTTTTGCCACAATATTAAAAAAATAAACAAACATACAATGAAAATAAATTAAAAAAAAAACGAATAACTACAAAAAATACCACACTATACTAGTTAAAAAAATAATAAATAATAAAGTAAAAATCATCATAATAATAAAATAATGAAATATGTATGTAATTAAAATACATAAGAGAACAAAACTTTTTAGCCAATTCTCTTTAAGGACAACTAAGCAAAATATGCTTAAAACATAAATATAATAATTGTATAAAAACACACACAACACAATATCACTAATAAAACCACAAACACACACAGACAAACAAAATTTTATCATAAGATATTTAAATATCTTTAGCGAACAAAAACAAACAAGTAAAAAAGTAGCATAAATTATAAAATAATAATAATAATCTAATTGTAATTTTTAATTACTTCAATAAATCTTAAATCATAAGTAGGTATGTTGCCATAGAAAAAAATAATAATAATACAAAATTGTGTTGTTGAAATTTGACAACAGACTACAGCAAAAGAAAAAACAACAAAAAATGTCTAAAAACATTTTAAAAGCCAGACCAAAACCAAATTTAAAACGACACCAAACAAAATAATCATAAAAATTAAAAACCTTAAAAATTTAACACAGACAACTAAATTTACAATATATTTGTAAAATTTTGCAAGAAAAGCAAAACTTTTTTGGTAAAAAAAAATCAAATGCATACAAAAAAATTGGCAACATTAAGAAGTAAACAAAACAAAAATGGACTTACTACAACAACTGAAACAAAAAAACTAATTAATAAGTAAAATGAAAAAAAAGACGAAAAAAAAAACAAAATAAAATTAAATTTTAAATTAAAAAAATATATAAAAACGACTTTTTTATTTGAAAAGTAATAATTGGTTTGCAACAATTTGAAACTACTTCAAAACTACATAACAAAATGGAATATAATTTAGGGTAAGGAATGGATACATTACGATCTCAAGGACACTTGGGAATAAAAGCAAAATTTATGTTCAATTTAAAAAAACTATCAAAGAAATCAGTAAATAA